GAGAGGAATTAGCAGGTACTGAATAATGAACCAAAGAGAGAGGAGGGGAAAGAAAGAGAAAAAAGAAAGATAAAATGAGAATAATGAATGAATGAAATGGATAAATTGTTCTGTTTATGGAGGGACACGACCAGAGAACTAGGGGCCATGCAACAGTTATCAAATCCACCTAACTTGCATTCATTTGTACATTTTTATAACAAATATGGGCATAATGAATGACAACAATATCTGTATAAAATGTGCATCTAAAAAATTATATATAAAAATATAGTAATAATAGCAGAGGATCTATGGGAATGTAAAGAATTACTGAATAGTCTTTAGATCTACATCAATAATTAATATGAATATTTAATATAAAAACATAAATATGGTACCTTTTGGAATGAATATTACAGATGTGCCTTGTTTCTGTTGTATATTCTACTTGATGCTGTAATGCTGTTTTTGCAGCCTACTTCTTAAAAAATAAAAACGTTTGTAAACCAAAAAAAAACATAAATATGAGTAAGCCATATGTGGGTAGAGGGATACAAGGGATAAAGATAATCATGATACTAATTATGATGATGGCATTCAACAATGATACATGATTATATTAGTCATAATAAATATATATATATAAAATATATATACAGTTGTGCTCAAAAGTTTGCATACGCTGGAAGAAATTGTGAAATTTTGGCATTGATATTGAAAATATGGCTGATCATGCCAAAAAATGCTCTTTTATCGAAGGATGATCATCATATGAAGCCATTTATCATCATATAGTTGTTCGGTTCCTTTTTAAATCATAATGATAACATAAATCACCCAAATGGCCATGATCAAAAGTTTACATACCCTGGAATGTTTGGCCTTGGTACAGACACATACGGGTTAAAATGCCAATTAGAGGTTAATGTCCCACATCTGTGGCTTTTTAAATTGCAATTAGTGTCAGTGTATAGTCAATGAGTTTGTTAGCTCTTACGTGGAAGCACTGACTAGGCTGGATACTGAGCCATGGGGATCAGAAAAGAACTGTCAAAAGCCCTGAATATGCCAATCAGTACTGTTAAATCACCTATTAAGAAGTGGAAAGTTCGGGGATCTCTTGATACCAAGCCAAGGTCAGGCAGACAAAGAAAGATTGCAGCCACAACTGACAGAAGAATCGTTTGGGATACAAAGGGAAACCAATAGGTAACCACAAGAAAAATACAGGCTGCTCTGGAAGAAGACAGTGTGGTTGTTTTGAAGGAGCACAATATGATGACACTTGAACAAAAATGAGCTGCATGGTTGAGGTGCCAGAAAGAAGCCTTGTTAGGCATGCCAAGGTGTTGTCAGGCATATTGTAATTGGTCTTTTTTGTGGCATTGGTGCAGTAATTTATTTCTGGCACTTCGACCAAACAGCTCATTTTTGTTCAAGTATCACCATATTGTACTCCTTAAAAACAACCACACCATCTATTTCCAGAGCAGCCTGTATTTCTTTTGAGGTTGCCTGTGGGTTTTTCTTTGAATCCCAGACAATTCTTCTGGCAGTTAGGGCTGCAATCTTTCTTGGTCTACCTGACCTTGGCTTGGTATCAAGAGACCCCCGAACTTTCCACTTTTAATAGGTGATTTAACAGTACTGATTGGCATATTCAAGGCTTTGGACATCTTTTTATGTCCTTTTCCATGTTTATAAAGTTCCATTACCTTGTTACGCCGGACTTTTGACAGTTCTTTTCTGATCCCCATGGCTGAGTATCTAGCCTAGTCAGTGCTTCCACGTAAGAGCTAACAAACTCATTGACTATTTATACTCTGACACTAATTGCAATTTAAAAAGCCACAGATGTGGGACATTAACCTCTAATTGGCATTTCAACCCGTGTGTTTTGCCTTATGTGTCTGTACCAAGGCCAAACATTCCAGGGTATGTAAACTTTTGATCATGGCCATTTGGGTGATTTATGTTATCATTATGATTTAAAAAGGAGCCAAAAAACTTTTTGATAATAAATGGCTTCATATGATCATCATCCTTCAATAAAAGAGCATTTTTTGGCATGATCAGTCATATTTTCAATATCAATGCCAAACTTTCACAATTTCTACCAGGGTATGCAAACTTTTGAGCACAACTGTATATATATATATATATATATATATATATATACAAAGGAGAATAAGTTCGTATTAGACACTTCAAGAGGAATCATACAGTGACTAATAGTTAGATAATGGTAATAATCAAAAACACATATCATATGCATATGTGCCACATTGCACCTAACAAAATGAACAATGAATAGTCAAACGTGACTCCATGCTCCAATTATATAAATTGTGCACTCACCAGATGCACAAGGAGAAAGTGCATTGAATATAAGCTCTTTGCGTGGTCCCCTTTAGAGTAGATCAGTTCACCTGTCAGAAGTATGTATCCTCTGTCTGGACACCAGCCTCTAGTACTGCTCCTCTTCCACTGGGGGTCTCACCGAGCAGATGGCTCAAAACCAAGCCATGTAAAAAAATATATATTTTTATATATAAAAAATTCATAGTGTAGTATTTTGTTATACTCAAAAAATGTATTAATAATCCTTGTTAAAAGCAGACAAAAGAAGCCTCTGATTGAGTAAAAACATGTAGTAATCACATAAAAAATGTCCAAAATCGATATATAAAGGCAGATATAAATGGCTGTAACAGCCACTAACCAAGATGGCCACCGGACCTCTCATGCGGCTCCGGCGGCGTGATGTCACCGCGTTAGGGCTCCTTTCATGCTATGGCACTTTATCAAAAGGCACACCCCTTTTGATAACATGCCATAGCACGAAACGCATTAAGAAGGAGCCCTAACTCGGTGACGTCACGCCGCCAGTGCCGCACATGAGGTCCGGTGGCCATCTCGGTTAGTGGCTGTTACGGCCATTTATATCTGCCTTTATATATATCTATTTTGGACTTTTTTTTATGTAATTACTACACATTTTTACTCTATATCAGAGGCTTCTTTTGTCTGCTTTTAATGGGATTATTAATAAATTTTTTGAGTATATAAAAATACTACACTATGAGTTTTTTTTTATATACATGGCTTGGCTTTGAGCCATCTGCTCAGTGAGACCCCCAGTGGAAGAGGAGCAGTACTAGAGGCTGGTGTCCAGACAGAGGATCCATACTCCTGACAGGCTGACTGATCTACTCTAAAGGGGACCACGCAGAGAGCTTACTGTATGTTCAATGCATTTTCTCCTTGTGCATCTGGTGAGTGCGCAATTTATATAATTGGAGCATGGAGTCACGTTTCAGAATTATAGAGGAGGATTCACTTCCCGTTAACTATTGCAAGTCAAGCTTTCACTTAGATGCACTTAAAGAGACTGTTCATTGTATTAGGTGCAATGTGGCACCATATGCATATGATATGTGTTTTTGATTAATATTCTAGCGCTGCATCTATTTGTATTTATTTACTGACATTTACCAGGTCCTGGATATCCTTGGTTGGTGCAATTGCAGCTGGACATTTTATGTTTTTATTGTTGTTTATAATTGTAATTTTATAGTTTAATTTCCTTTATTCTATGATTCTGAGTGCTTGCTATTTACACAATTTTTTTTAGATAATGGTATTAATTTCAAGTTCTTCATTCAGCCCTTTAGGTGGCAGTGTACTGAGGGTAAAGATCCAAAAAGTCTCTCTAACGCATAGTTTGTGGAACCTGTCTGCCTGAGAATCACAAGGGGGGATAGATTCAAGAACCCAAACCCTAAGGCCATTGGTGGATTTGTTATGTTGAGTGAGGAAGTGCCATGGGACACTATGGTCTTCACTGCCTTCCTCAATTAGCCTCCTGTGTTCTCCAAAACGTGCCCTAGCCGCACGAATGGTGCAGCCCACGTAGAGGAGTCCGCAGAAGCAGGATAAGCAGAAGACCACGTACTGTGGAACAAGTAAAAAAGTATTTGATGGTATATATCTTTCCTCCTGAGTCAGAAATTTTTTTGCCAGTGATTAACAAATTTACACATCTTGCATCTCAGATTTTAAATAGTTATGTTCTAGGCAGAACCTAAAACCAGCCCATTTCATTCTAGAAGGTTCTGCCTGGAACATAACTATTTGGGTCATTTGGGATGGCCCTCTTTCATTTATTTCACCTATTTCATCAGTGCCGGGCAACTATATAGAAGATGAGGTTCAATGTAGGTAAATGTAATGTAATGCACTTGGGAGCTAAAATTACATATGCAAGAACAGCTGGAGGAATTGAAGATGGAAAAGCATATGGGGGTCCTAGTAGATTACAGATTCAGCAACAGCATGCAAGGCTAAGCTGCAGCCAACAGACTAAAAGCATGCATAAAAAACAGTATTTACTCAAGAGATAAAACTATAATTCTGCCACTCAAATTCAAATCCTTGCATGACGACTCCAGCATTGGGAAGAAACTTTAGGTCTCTAAAAAAAACCACTCGGCCTCACAATATTAGGATTGTTAGCATGGTAATGATGTGGAACTCCCTTCCACAGTTGCTGGTGTCAGTGGAGAGTATAGATAAGTTCAAAAAACATTTACAGTATGTGTATTTCATAGTGAACATAATGTACAGGGACATGGAGAACAGGCTCACACAAACAAAAATTTAAATAAACACCATTCAATGAGAGGGTCCTCCATTTTACAACATATGTGACTTTGAGGGTAACATGAGAAAAACACCAAATTTCTAATTACATATTTCAGAAATGCCTTAACTGTCTCCCGCCCGCCATATAAGGAAATGATGGGCGCAAGGCAGTTCTCTCGTTCTGGGAGGACGTCATATGACGTCCTCCCACTGTAACCGCACTTGCGCGGCTCCGGGGGCGCACAGCACGGCGATCGCTGGTGAGCTGTGTCCCTCGGACACAGCAGATCACGATCAACAGAAAGAGCCGAAGACATCAGTTCGGTCATGTGATCAGTTGTATCCAATCACAGCTGATCGCATGTAAATAGGGAAATGCCGGTTATCAGCATTTCTCTCCTCACGACCTGTCATGCTGACAGCTCATGAGGAGAGGAGAGACGGTAATCGGCATTCCTCAGAGGGGACATCTACACTGATCAAGTCAGTGCCGCCTATCTGTGCCAGTCAGTGCCGCCTATCAGTGGCACCTATCAGTGCCATATATGAGTGCTGCCTTTCAGTGCCCATCAGTGATGCCTGTCAATGCCCATCACTACCACCGACCAGTGCCTCCTCATCAGTGCCACCTATCAGGCCCATCAGTGCAACCTATCAGTGCCTATCACTGCAGCCTCATTAGCGCACATCAGTGAAGGAGAAAAACTTTTTTCAAAATTTTCAGTTTTTTCTGGTTTGTTTAGCAAAAAAATAAAAACCCCAGAGGTGATTAAATGCCACCAAAAGAAAGTTCTATCTGTCTCAAAAAAGAGATAAAAATGTCATATGGGTACAGTGTTGCATGACCATGCAATTGTCATTCAAAGTGTGACATCGCTGAAAGCTGAAAATTGTCCTAGGCAGGAAAGGGGTAAAAGTGCCCGGTAGGCAAGTGGTTAAAGCTATACGAGGGGTTATAGAACAGTATAGTTCTCTGGGACAGCATCAACAACACCATATTCTGGCATCACATAATTTGTATGTATAAATACATTTTTTTTAACTCCTTCCCACCCTGCCTATTGCAATATGATGGCCGAGTGGGAACCTTATTATATGGGGAGGATCTCATATGACGTTCTCCAAGGATCGCGCCGGGAGACCCCGATGACAGATCACTACACTGGCCTGCTGCCAGTGTCATGTGATAACTGTGACCAATCACAGCAGATCACGACAGTTGTAAACAATGAATGGCTTCCTTTCATGCCATTTATTGCTTACAAATGTGCTGCGAGCTTTGATTGGTCACAGTGATCACATGTACAGACTGGGCCAATCACAACCCATTTGTATGATGTGATCAGCTATGGCCAATCACAGCAGATCATAGCAAAACTACTGAATTAATAATTTTAATTCAGTAAAAATGTTTGCTCATACCAATGAAATTAGTTGGTATAAGCAATCATAATGTGTAAAAAAAAAAAATTCCTGATCACTTGCACAAGTCACAGGAGTAGATAAAAAAAAGTAATAACAAGAAAAAAAAAAAAAAAAAAAAAAAAAAAAAAAAAAATATATATATATATATATATATATATATATATACACACAGTGAAGGAAATAAGTATTTGATCCCCTGCTGATTTTGAATGTTTTCCCACTCACAAAGAAATGATCAGTCTATAAATGAAATAGTAGGTGTATTGCAACACTGAGAGACAGAATAGCAACAAAAATTTCAAAAGAAATGCATGTCTAACAAATTATGCACTGATTTGCGTGTTCATGAGGGAAATAAGTATTTGATCCCCTTCACAAAACATGACTTAGTACCTGGTGGAAATCCCTTGTTGGCAATCACAGAATTCAAACGTTTCCTGTAGTTGGCCACCAGGTTTGCACACATCTCAGGAGGGATTTTGGCCCACTCCTCTTGGCAGATTCTCTTCAAGTCATTAAGGTTGGTGGCTGATGTTTGGCAACTCGAACTTTCAGCTCCCTCTACAGATTTTCAATGGGATTAAGGTCTGGAGACTGGCTAGGCAACTCCAGGACCTTAATGTGCTTCTTTTGAGCCACTCCTTTGTTGCCTTGGCCTTGTGTTTTGGCTACAGGAAAGTCTGACCTCTGTGATTGCCAACAAGGGATTTACCACCAAGTACTAAGTCATGTTTTGTGAAGGGGATCAAATACTTATTTCCCTCATGAACATGCAAATCAGTGCATAATTTGTTAACATGCATTTCTTTTGAATTCTTTGTTGCTATTCCGTCTCTCATTGTTACAATACACCTACCATTCGATTTTTAGACTAATCATTTCTTTGTGAGTGGGCAAACATTCAAAATCAGCAGGGGATTGAATACTTTTTTCCTTCACTATATATATATATATATATATATATATATATATATATATATAAAACCCAGTGGTGATTAAATACAAAAAAGAAATCTCTATTTGTATGAAAAAAAAGATAAAAATTTCATATAGGTACAGTATTTGCATGGCCACGCAATTGTCATTTAAATTGCAACAGGGCTGCAAGGCGAAAATTTGCCTGGGCAGGAAGAGGGTAAAAGTGCCAGGTAGGCAAGTAGTTAAACTGTACATTATTCTTAAGCTTACATAAAGTACAAGCATCCCTATCTTATAAATTGCAACATATTTTTTCTCTAGCAGTAAAAGGCCAGATATCAGCAGCTGAAGTAGTAAATAGAACAAATCTAAAGTCCAGCAGAAGGTATCCACAATCACATGTTTTACATACATAAAATAAAGCTAAATCCCCCATTGTAATAATTGTCAAACAGTGGCAAAAACATGTTTCTTAGCATTGTATGTGGTCTTATTTTAGTGTATTTTCTACAAATTTTAATACGTCAACACAAAGTGCACAAAAACACCACACAATTCCAATTCCTGAGATGAGGCAATTGTTTTAAAGTCAATAGCATAGTGGTTGGAGAATATGTAAGCAGCTTGATTGGGCAGTAATGCAAGAGGAAGAGGCAGTGGATTCTGGCATGAGGCAGAAATATAACTGTGTTTGAAGAGGAAGATAAGAAGAGTTTTTAATTCAGAAATAAAACTTATAGAAAATGTTGGCAGTAACACAAAGCTACTATATTACAAAGACATGTTGCACATCATGTGCTGTTTGCTCCTTGGTAGGCTGCATTTGAAAATGGAGAGATGAGGCTTTTCTTATCCAGAAATAAAAATTACAGTGCATTATATCAAAGATACAAAGCAGATATCTTACAGAGACATGCTGCATGCCATGCAGTTCTTTTTAGTAGGCACATTAAAAGAGATACAGATAAGGAACTTTTTATCTAGAAATAAAAACTACATTGGATTATGTCACATGGAAGAAATATTACAGAGGCATGTAGAACATTATGTAAGCCTTTGTAATAGTTCACATTTGAAGAGGGAGAGATATGGCACTTTTTATCCAGAAAGAACAGTTAAAATGGATTATGTCAGCAAATCAAAGTAGAAATATTATACAGTCAGTATTAAATCATTGGAGTAGGACACATTTTGAGAGGGACACGTGTATGCGATTGTTCATCCTACAAATCCACATCTTAAGCTTGATGCAAAGCATTCCAGCAACCATATCAATTGAAATGTTTTTCAAAATTCAATAGTATACTGTATGCTACACACAACATACATAATATTTCAACAATGTATTTTAGTACACAGTATATAAGCATTTTAACGGTGCCACAGAATTTTGTGGAGGAATCAGGAAGGCTTTAGGGAACAAATCACTTTTAGGCTACTCCATTTCAGAGAGACAGTAGCCACAAATATTCCACATTAATAGAGCACATGAATAGGCGGAAAATGGAAGAAAAATAGTAGGATTTAGCTTGCATGAAGCACTATACATTTTTCAACTGAAGAACAATTGTGTAAATATTAGGCTGCAGCACCTTGACATTGCAATAGTAGCATAATACACCACAAACATTGAGGCATTTAGCAGGAATCAATAATAATAATATATATAACTATTACACAGAGTGTTTCACTATTACGTGTTTTCACGGTTTATCACGTGCTTTCACGGTTTATGCGTTTTGCACGAAACTAATGAGGATTTTTTTTAATAATTATTTTGGTGATTATTGATGGATTTATTAATTATTTTGTAAGGATAATACACTATTGAATTTTCCTTTATTTTAGATTCATACAGGAAGTTTTTTTTTCAGAAATTGGAAGAAAGATTTATGGACTTTAATTTTGAGTTTTCACGTAACAATTGTATGGACACTAAGAAGGTTTATTATTATTGATTTATACTTTCAAGGGTGAAAGTGGGACTTTCTTTAGTGTTATTTCACAGGGTATTATAGAGTATACTTTATTATTTTTTTGAACACCGATTCATATTCATAACATTTAGCAGGAATGACTCTTGAAGCCAAGGGACAACTGTGGAAACATTATCTCTGGCACCAGAGATAATTATACAAAGGCGCATGGGGGAGCTCTTGTCCATAATGGGCATGGTATTGACACAGCTCCAGATGATCCACATTGACTCACAACTGATATGATCAAAAAATATTTAGACAGAATAAAGGTGAATAAAGCACCCGGACCGGATGGCATACACCCACTGGTCCTTAAAGAATTGAGCTCTGTCATTTAAAAGCCATTGTTTCTAATTTTTAGGGACTCTTTAATGACTTGCATAGTACCACTGGATTGGCATAAGGCCAATGTGGTGCCAATATTTAAAAAGGGGTCAAAATCTTTACCAAGTAATTATAGACCTGTTAGTTTAACTTCTATAGTTGGAAGATACTGGAGAGTTTAATAAAAGACCACATAGATGAGTTCTTACTGGAAGAAAATATTTTAACCACTTGCCTACCGGCACTTTCATTCCCTTCCTGCCCAGGACAATTTTCAGCTTTCAGCGCTGTCACACTTTGAATGACAATTGCGCAGTCATGCAACACTGTACCCTTATGAAATTTTATCATTTTTTTCACACAAATAGAGCTTTCCTTTGTTGATATGTACTTGCTGCTGGGTGTTTTATTTTTTGCACTAAAAACAAAAAAAGAGCAAAAAAATTTGAAAAAAAAAGTTTCTTTGTTTCTATTATAAAAATTTGCAAACAGGTAATTTTTCTCCTTCACTGATGTGCGTTGAGGAGGCTGCACTGATAGGCAGCACTGATGGGAACTGATAGGCGGCACTGGTGGGCACTGATAGGCAGCACTGATAAGGTGACATGGATAGGCAGCACTGATGGGCTGATGGGCACTGATAGGCAGCACTGATGAGCTGGCACTGATGAGGCAACACTGATGCTGCTGCACTGATATGAAACAATGATGGGCACTTATAGACGGCACTGATGAGCACTGATGGGTGGCACTGCTGGGCAGCACTGATGGGTGCCACTGATGGGAACTGGTGGGTGGCACTGCTGGGAACAGGTGGGTGTTACTACTAGGCACTGATGGGCACAGGTGGGTGGCACTGATGGGAACAGGTGGGCGGCACTGCTGGGCAGTTGAGGGCGGCACTGGTGGGTGGCACTGCTGGGCACTGATCACACGTGATGTGGTAAAAGGCCGATCACAGTGGCCTTTTACCACGTGATTAGCCATGTCCAATGACACG